ACAGTCGTAACCTTTACTTCCGACGAATCGTCTTGTAGTATGTGGAGTCGTATCTGCATATAAAACTTCCTGGTGCATATCTCTCAACATCGCATCCAAGATATTTTATGCACAGCGTGGTAAGACTTTTTTAAAAAAAAAGCCACAACAGTCATTTTAGTTAGGAAACTATTTCAATTATTGAGTAGGGAATCAAGCTGTCGGTGTGACGCTCGGGGAGGGTGTTAAAACAGAATGATTCTGGTACAGACAAGAAGATAGTGGTGAAGATGCTAGTGAAGTCAAGAACATAGTATGCAGAGGAAAAACAAACAAAAAATGGAGAAGAATATAGTACCCAGGGTTTTCTTTGAAAAAACAATTCCTTTTTTTACATCATGTTGCAAGGTTATGCTAGTTGTTGCCACAGTACATTTGTGAGAATGCTACCTTTTGCGTCACAACGACATTCCTATTTAAATAATAGGTTATTGTATGATGTGTATTATATGTGTATTGTGGTCCGGGAGAACTGGGCACTGGCTACTAAGACGTTGCTTGCTGCAATTTGACGATAACGAACCTGGCAGGGAACAGTGCACGATTGATCTGTACGAGGTCATATGCAAAAATACGTGTTCAGGAAATTGGTTGAATAGCTTTCTCAAAGGTCAGGAAAAGAGTGGTGAACATATTGTGAAACTGGTAGTTTTTCCGTAAGACATATTGCCTTGAGATTCACCCCTCTCCCTTTTTTTCGTAGTCGCTCTAGGTCGCATGGTTCTTGTTAGTTATGTCAGTTTGATATTTGGAATGGAATACTTTGTAGTCCCAATTTTCAAGATCCCGGTTTTTCCTAGAAAGCCGCTAGAGGGCTATCAAAGTACCCGGATGACAACCACTGTCATGGCTCTGAGTGGGATTAAAATAACCTCAGCTTTGGCGTTTACTTGCGTTTTCTCCTATGTTTTGATAGTATACGGATCTTCTAATGTCAGGGTAGATCCCTTGTCCTGAACTGTACGGCGACGCTTGCTCGAGGTTTCGCGATCGTCAGGCTCTAAAGGGCGAACTTTTAACTCATTTGCAAGTTCCACGAGTTATTCCTCGTCCTTGTAGAAACTGACGTCATTCAGAAACTTTTCCCGAATGCAAATTTTCCATTGTAACGGTTCTGTGAACAGCAAAAAACAACCCCACTGGGAGTACGCCCCGCACGGCGAAACCTTGAAATGTATATGTAAATTAGCTGCCATTGAGAACACGAAAATTGGGAAAGTGGGAATGTTATCCAGTAATCATTCTAATCCTCCAAAATATTTCACCTACACTTTCCGTGTCATGACAAAACTTGTTCAAGTTATGCAGTTGATTTATACGTAGCGGCATTAACCAATAACCAATATTTATTCACGGCCCAAAAATGTCGCACACCCTGGTACTTAATATCATTGGACCTTGTTTAATAAACTCACATAACGCAAGGTTCCTGGTTACATTATTGGATTCGTTATCAACTGGTATTAAAACCAAATGTACTGGGTGAGATGGCGTAGTTTCCCGCTCATCCAATCTGTCCAATGTATCCAATGTTGGTGGTTGGTGGTCGCCTTCCCTGCCCAATGTCTACATGCCATTGGACATTTGAAGTTAAAGGTGGTCAAAGCGTGTCGTTGTTCACAAACAAGCTTCTACCCATGAGCCTTTGTGTTTTAGCGTGTGTTATTATCGTCACCTAGGACTCACTTCCCGCGCGTGCGCAGGTGACGCCCCTTTCGCTTTAAATCAACTTCTTTGTGGCTGTCTTGTTGGCAACAAAGTAAATAACAGTATTAGATACGCGGACGTTTTTCTAACAGTATATTGACTAGTTTATGGAACAGTTACGTGAGGTGAAGGTCAGCCTTGTTACACTGTTGGGATCAAAATGAGACTTTGTGTACAATTACGTAATTGCAAGCAAACTATTGTTTTCTGTTTATATTTCGTTGTTCATTTCAGTATTTATTTATCTTTGATATGAACACATTTGACTGAAAATTTCAAATAACGAAGCAGACGATATAGCGAACAAAATAGCGAAATGTCACACATGATACAACAACAAAAAACGAAATGTCACACGGGAGTTATCAAATTGTAGGCCGGGCAACCATGGTGATGAGAGCGTTGTTAATAAGCGTTGATGTGGTGCAAATAATTAGCGTCAGATGATAATTAAGAGCGGGCGTTTTAGTTACCAAATGATCGATCGGGTTGTGTGCAGATTCAGGGTTCGGAAGTCAAAACTGAATTGCGATCCGTAACGAAAATTGGATGTCGGCCGACTATGCTACAAAAAGTTTCGGAAATAATTGTGAGGCAACACAGCAGTAATCATTCAACATCGAATACAAATATTTATTATCGTGGTCGCACATGAAGGCGTTCCTTTAATAATGCATTCATGTAATACAGTATAACGCTAACTAATTAACTGGAGCTGCTGTCGTATTCGTATTGCCGTCGTACTAGTAATCACGTAACTGTAATCACACACGTAAAACTGTATTCGTATTCGCACTCGTGTTTATGTCGTATTTACACTTATATTCGTAACAATCACGTATTCGCATGCATTTAACCGCGTAACTGTCACTATAATCGTGTAACTACTTCGATATAATCAGTCACGTAACTATACTTATAATCTAAACACTAACACTATAATTATAACTATGCAACTAAATTGCTGTATCTCGTCTACTATGAATTATAAAAATACCAGTAATTTAGTACAATGGGAAATCAATCATTCACTCAATAAAACAATCATTGACACAATTTTAATTTACTTTATTTGCTGAATATATTTATTCCATTAATGAATAATGAGAGAAAGGTTAAATTATATCATAATAGTTGCCATGGCCATTTCATCGTAGTACCCTCCATCACGATTCTAGCCTGTAAAATAAATTAATATTATGATAGAGGGCGTCATCTTGCGCATTTCGAGTATAGAGTGTTCAGTATGTTTCCTTAGTTACGAGTAGCACTAATTGAGATTGAACAAGCAGTGAGCAAAATTTGAAAGTCAGCAAAGTTGTTCTCATCAAGTCAAAAAGGAATCCTTGTCGTAAACGATGACCAACATCTTCTCTTGAAATTAAGGGTTGCCCATTTGAAATCGAGGGGGGTCTTTACACATCAGGAACTTTTTGCTTGTTTTCCAGATAGCGGTATATGTATATTATACTACCATGTTTTAAAGAAATTCTTTTCTACGCCCATCCGTCTCAAGGGGGAAATGCTGCTCATTATTTAAAACAAGGATTCGTTATCTAATTCCGTGAGCAAAATTTTGCTGACTTGCAACATTTCGCCTACTGGATTTTGCTCAATTTACTCCCACACCAGGATTTTAGTTCAAGAATGACTGAACGTATCCGAAAGCTAGATTTTAGGCGGACAAATTGTCAAGAACATCACAAACAAATCGTGACCGCAGAACATTCGTTGCGAACATCCGTTGCGAGAGGGAGCTACTCTCGGTGTTAAACGACCATAATCAACGTCAGTTCTGGAGTAGTACATGCGTATATTCATACAAATTAATAATTTCACTTCACTACTAATGGATTGGTCAGTTACTTCGGCCTAGGGGGGTCGGTGGTTCAGTAGGGGGGTTACCCAGTTTTTCATTGTGCGAATAGGGGGCGTCACCCTGTTTTTGATATCATGTTTTCCAGAATTCACACACGCGCTCATGCATATATTTTTAAAATGTTTATTTCAGAACAAACGATAAAAAAGTTAATCATACAAATATGTTCTTAATAATAACTATTACCTATATTACCTATAAATTTGTTGATGCAAAAAATGTTAAAGGCTAAATATTTTGAGGTTAAATTTGCCAAATAACTAACAGATTATGCAATGCGGCTAGAATCCCAATTATACAGTTAAGTTTTAAACACATCCCAAGTCCATGTGCTGCTGATATCAGAATATTTTATTTAAAGTCTGAAGTCATCAATGTATAAGATATTTACTGGATTTATCCAATTATAATAAGAGACGGAAAGACAAAACAGCAATTAGTACAAAGTTAAATTTGTGGAAATGCTGATATATAAATTAAAATAAATGATGAAAAAATAAATAAAGTTTTTTTGTTTTTAATATGCATATTTTTAAATATTTTTAATATGCATATTTTGCTCTGTAAAATACCAAAATCCAACACAAAATTAAGCAAAAATCAAAGTTTCCTTTGTTTTCATAAGCACAGACTGTGCTTCAGGTGTAAAGCTTTCCTGGTCTATGCGATATGAAAGATATTTTAAATCCAACTTAGTTTTCAAAGAGTTCAAATCGCCTAGATTCAAATCCTCTTTTTCTATCATATAAGGGCGTTTATCGAGTGAGTACTCCACAGCTTTGCTTTTATTTACTATCTTTAGCAGCATAGATTTCCCTCCTTCCTGCAGCCTTTTCTGTAGTCATTTTTTTGGCTTTATGCTTCCCCTCCCCTAAGGTCTATTAAATGCAAACGCTAAAAATTATGTCAAAATTATGGCAAACCATATAATGCACATATAATACTTTTTGTAAGCATGTCAGAGCCAACACTGTTAACTGTTTCTTTTTTAAGGGGGGGGGGGTCAGCATGTTTTAAGTTTTAAAATATAATGTGGGGGGGTCACCCACTTTTTTTTATTTGATAGGGGGTGGGTCAACTGAGATTTACAGCTGGCAAAATGGAATCTGCCGACCCCCCTAGGCCAAATTAACTGACCAATCCCTAAGTGGAGGAAGTTTAACCTTTACCTAGTCAAGTCAATGTAAAAATACACGGGGCTGGCAGGATAGGGGTTAATTTAAATTTGACGACTAAAATGTGTCACATGACGTCGATAATTCAAACTGCTACTAAATGTAAATATCTAAAAATCCATGTAAACATTTTTTCGCGCGTTCTTAAATAGAGGACAGATAATATTTGCTTACCTGGTTCTCAAGCTCTCTTTGTAATACTATCCACCTAGAATGATAATAGGAGAAGTTAGAATATCAACTATAATAATCAACTGAACATACTAAAATTGGAGAGCG